TTACCTTATCTTCCGCTCTCTTTACTTCTACTTGTTCTTCTTTTCCTGCCGCCCCACCATTATCTCTTGGTGGTTGTTTGACAGAAGTTTTTTGAGGGCTGACATTCTTTAATTTTCGCGCATCTAACGGTTCTTCTGAGGTGTTCAACACTTCACCGACTGGATTTCGTATATCCAGTTCTTCTTCATGGCCGCCCTTAGATAAAGACTCTGAAGCCCTCGATAGTTCACCTTGTAGTTCACTAACACTATCACCAAACGATACCCCCACCGCAGCACCGCACCACAGCACGCAGAGGGCACACACCAGCAGCACACGGCCAGTCATCATCATCGCCATCACTCCTGCCACTTGCGTGCAGCCTTCAGCACAAACTAACAACACGTCAACGCAAAGTGAAAGCAAAAGAAAAGAAAGGACACACAACAACGCACCTTTCCATCCAGCAATGAGAGTCACACACAGTAAAAAATAACAGAAACGCACACAAAAATAATACAGATGGAATCAGTACAACTGCAAATCTCAAACGCCGCCCTGCAAACCAGAAGTTCTAAAAAGTAAGAAGTAAAAATTAAAAAACAACACACACAAGGCTCCACCGCATGTACATACGGCAAGGGCGGTCTGTCGTGTCGGCACCCCTCACGGAGGGTGCGCACACACACAAGAGGAGGTGCAGCGCACACAGCAACACAAAAGCAAAATAACAGTAAAAAAGGGAATGATCCCCGCACACCACGTGGATTGTTGGCCCACAGGAAGTGCAGCCAATATTTATCACAAAACAATATATTCTTTTTTCCTCTTCGTTGTTTGCTGTAAAAGCACTGAGTTTGTACCGCAAGGGCCGTCTGCAGAAACGTGGCAAGTATCCAGTCTCATACTGACCGTCGTGCGGGCTGGGGCAGTTCCAAACAGTCGCAGTCCTTACTCTCAACGACGAAGGCATTCCCACAGTGGATGAAGCGGAGTCTCCCGTGGTCCGTCGGGGATCAGCAGCCCGTGGCGTCTGTGATGGGGCACTGGCGGAAGGGCCTAGTCCATCCTCGGTGCCCGCGGTTGTGTTTCCTGCGCGCGAGGCGTCTGCTAGGAAGACGGTGGAGCCATCGCGGCATCCTCGTGCAAGGACTTCTCCAACTATCGGAACGCAAGGCTGAGCACGTCGGGCGCGTGTCCTCCATATTGTGGACGGACGAGCGCACTCTGCCGCAGATTGGGCAGGAGGACGTCAATCCGCCCCTCGCTTGTCGGTAAGGGCTGGCGGCGCTCACGTCGGGAAGAGGTTCCGGCGGAGGCAGCGGCGGGCCGGTCTCCTCGGTTAGGGAGGGACGGCACCAACGACACAAGGCCACTCGTGATCTGCAGGGCACGTGCGGGCCTGACGAAAAGTGCGCAGGAGTCGCATCGCACCTGCACACAAAGTCTTCATTCGTTGCCCGATATCTGCCTGGACACCGGGAATGTTTTTTTTTTCTTTTACACCGTCAAGCGCCTGTCATGCGGTGTGCGCGCCTTCCTTTTCCTCCCGCACTTTCTTTCAGTACAGTCGCCTGACTGCGGTGAGGAAGTCCACGTGCCAGGCACTGACGCAGCCCTGCGGGAGGGATCGCGCCATGACGGCATCAGCGTCCGCCGTCACGTTGCGTGGGATTCCGCGGCGTCATGGGAAAAATGTGAAGCCAGCTGTACGACCTCGATCCTCCAGTGAATGCGGTACGGCGCAAATTCCCTCGCCGACGTCGTCGTGCACCTCCAGCGGGCCAAGGCATAGCGACTCCATCGCCGAGAGGGAGTCTTTGGCAGCAGGAACTCGTGTGGGCGATTGGGATGCTGCCGCCAGGCGGGGAACTGGAAAGTGTCTGTGGCCATGCTGAGTGGCAGGACACTCCGCTCGGCTGGAGCATGCAAGGCTGCCAGCAGCTGTGCGGTGAGGCCCCACAGGCAGCTCGGCTGTCCGGGGAGTCAAGTGGCAGCGCAGCGGATCCAGTGGCATGCTCAGCGAGAGACGACGAGCCGTCCACCGCCAACGCAGTCGCCAGCAACTAACAAGACGTTGAGCATGAATAGGACACGTATGCCGCACTGTCGTGGGCACGGACAGCGACCCCGATCCACTCAGCAACAGTGATCTAGTGCCCTTGAATGGTACAACAGCCACGCCTGAGCCCAGCACAGCCCTAGCAAATGTTGAACGAGTGATAACGTGTCGGGTGGCGGTGATGCCGCACAGTATTATTTGCGCACAACGTCTGGGAAACCAGAGATCCCATCGGAGCACGACGCGGCATCACTTGTGAGCAACGGTTTTTGTGAGCACGGGCATTTCACGGACTTGTCGGCCATGGCCGAAATTCGTGACATCACCGTGCATGGGTGTGTGTCTCGGGTGTTGTTGCTTCTGCTTCTGGGACTGTGGGGCACTGCGGCACTCTGCTGAAGTGTGAGGGAGGGTGGAATTGCGGCTTTTCTTGGAACAACAACTGTGCAGCTTGCCAGCATTACCCACTGAGTTTTGTCAATAATTTAAGTTTTTTTATTTTCTTTTATTTATTTATTTATTTTTGCTGCTTTTGCCCTATTGGAATAATCAGCATCCCTGTGTTTTTCTGCCAATAGTCGGTTGCTGTACACTGTCATGAGTGACGTGTTTCTTCCCCTTGTTTCATTCCATTGCCTACACGCGGTGCCGGCCTCATTGCTGTGCGTCCCACGGACTGCACGAAAGGAGGATTGGAGAAACAGGCCGGATGCCGCAATGAAGTGTGAGAAATGTTGTGTGGGCTGGTGGAACAGTACGATCTTTTTTTGATTTATTCAGTCCATGCATTACGTATACACAAACCAGTGGCCGTTTACATTGTGCTGCTTGGCAAATAAAATAAAAGTCGTGCCTGATCGATTTTTTTTTTTTTTACTTTTTGGGAGTTTTGCCGGAGTGTCAACTCCGTTGTTGTGCTTTTTTACTGCTTTTTAACTTCTGGTTTGCGGGACTGTGTGTGAGTTCTGCAATTGTACTGATTCTAACTGCCTCATGGTGCGTGCATTGCCATTTGTGACTGTGCGGTGGTTGTGTGCGGTGGTTGTGTGACTTGTCCCTCCTTTGCTTTTTGCGTTGACGTGTTGTTAGTTTGTGCTGAAGGCTGCACGCAAGTGGCAGGAGTGATGGCGATGATGATGACTGGCCGTGTGCTGCTGGTGTGTGCCCTCTGCGTGCTGTGGTGCGGTGCTGCGGTGGGGGTATCGTTTGGTGATAGTGTTAGTGAACTACAAGGTGAACTATCGAGGGCTTCAGAGTCTTTATCTAAGGGCGGCCATGAAGAAGAACTGGATATACGAAATCCAGTCGGTGAAGTGTTGAACACCTCAGAAGAACCGTTAGATGCGCGAAAATTAAAGAATGTCAGCCCTCAAAAAACTTCTGTCAAACAACCACCAAGAGATAATGGTGGGGCGGCAGGAAAAGAAGAACAAGTAGAAGTAAAGAAAGCGGAAGATAAGGTAACAAGAAGTGATGGAGAAGAACAACCAAAAGATCATTCAGAAGGAACGCAGCAACGCGATGGCTCAAAAGAAAACGGAAGGAACCCATCTCCAACACCAGCAGACAAAATGTTGACCAGTGAAGATCCAGCAGCAGAAAATGCAGGACAGGCGGGCCAAGCAATAAGACCGCCACAATCACCAGAATCTGATGGAACTCGACCCGGTGGCAGTTCTGTTGGAGATTCTAAAAGAGGTGAAGGTTCCAATTTGGATAATTCTGCTTCTGATGGTGGCAAACAATCTGCTGTTGACGGTTTAGGTTCCGGTGGTTGAACTGTCTTGGACCCCAATGGTGGTGTTGGAAGTAGTGGAGGAGGCGGTGGCAGTTCTCGAGGTGACTCTTCAGTTTCTCCTCTTTCTACGGCTGGCATTTCTTCATCTTCTGCCCTTGATGCCCCATTAGTTCAGAGCACGCAACCTTCAGAAAAGGGTCTACAGTCGGAAGCAATGTCTCTTGGAACCGCATTGCCCAACGAGCAGCCAAAGGAGAGGTCAGGATCCAAAGCAAAACAGGGCTCCTCTAATTCAGAAGAAGCCGCAGAAATTCCAGATGATAGTGGGGATGCAGCTGAAAAGGAGAAGGAGAAGGGAGACGTCGGTCTGAAAGCCACTACAAGCCCAACGCCTAATACCAGCAGCCCACCAGTAACACAAACAACTCCACGATCATCCTCCGCAGAACTATCACCAACAACGGAAGTTTAAGCAGGAGAAGAATCCCCAACAGAAACTGTTACCATCACCAAGAGAAATGACACTGCGACGCCTGGCGACACTGACGGCAGCACCGCGGTCTCCCACGCCACCTTCCCTCTTTTGCCTCTTCTTGTTGTTGCGTGTGCGGCTGCTGCTGCGATGGTGGCCGCGTGAGAGTGAGGGAGAGAGAGCCGTGCACCGCCCGCACACACACTTTTCCTTCCCTCTCTCTGTGTGTGTCCCCTTGCATGGACTCTCGCCCTCACCTCACCCCACGAAGCACACACATAATGTGCCCATTGTATATATGCATGCACACCCATGCAGGCCCGTTGGTGCTCTCTTTTGCACGACATGCACCGCTGCCGTTCTGCCTGGCTGCATGGGCGGAGCACCGTAACTGTTTCTTTGTTTTGTTTTTATTGCATTGAGTGGGCGACCTCTCTCTCTCTCTCTCTCCCACTGTCTCACCCTGTTGGGCTTTGCGGGAGCAATGAGAGTGTGTGCGCTGGTCGTCCCACACTTTTTCTTTCTTGTTTTTGTTTTTTTCGTTGTTTTAAGTGTGGTTATGTGCGCCCACAACCCTTTTTTCAGTTAGTGGCTTGCTTTGACTGCGGACGCTTAAAATTTCTCTTTTTTGTATTCTTATATTTTTCCTCTCTTGTTGAGAGAGTGTCAGCCTCTTGGTTCTTTGTGACGCCACCAAGTTCTTTCTTCAACTACGCCATGAGTCTGTTGATCTTATTCACCCGCGTCTTTTGGCGCTGCTGGTGCTATTGTTGATGTCTGCGATGTTATTTGTCGGCGGGTGTCTTGTTGTCAGCCTGACACATCCTTGGTTCCTTGACTATTTGTTGCGTACGGACGGCGCGTGGGTGTCTCTGGTGATAGTGAGGGACGCGTGTCTCAGAGCGCAGGATGCGTCGCGGGTGTGCGGCGTCGTTTGGAATATCCGGTGGGTGTCTTTCCCCGTGAAGGCGTCCACAACGGCCCCGGATGACAGCAGGAGGCACTGCGGCTTCAATTGGTGTTGCACAGCGAATTTATTGGACGATGCCTTTGATTTGCGTCTCTTGGGGCTTTAGTGGGGGAATGCGGGATGCTGAGGGCATTAGGACTGAATTCATTTGAGTGGCTGCGTTCCATTGACTTGCGGCCAGTCGTGGCACTCTTTTGGGGTTTGGCAGGTCGTCTCTTTTGTTTACTTCCCACCACACCACGTGGATAACACTGATCCAAATAACATTTGTCTGAGTGCGTGTGAGCTGCTGCCGTGCGTGGTGCGTGGAATATTTGATTGTGTAGGGAGGTGCATGGAGTGACGAATACTTCTGTTTGGCGTGTCGCGGTGTGTCGGAATGATGTTTGGATGACATGTGAGGGGTGTTGTTTGTAGTTTGTGTGTCTTCTCTGGTGGAGCCGACATGTGTGCGGGGATTGTGGCATTGCTGGCTGGCAGCTCCACGTCACTTTTCGGCATTCCTGGATGTGCTGAGGAATGACGGCTGGCGACCAGCGTGTTGATGCTGCTGGTGGGAATAAGTGCATGGGGAATAGGCCATTTTCTCTTTTCCGTGCTGGAGCCGATGAACTGGCACGAGGGCACCGGCTGCAGGCTGCCTGCCAGCACGTGTGAGCAGCGGATCCATGCACACACCGACGCTCATCGCAAGAGCTTGTGTGATCACAGTGGCCTTTTGTGGTGTGCTTTTATGGGCGTCAGCCCACCGAAGAATGTGTGATGCAAACGGCTGACTGCACACGAGGAAAATAAGTGCGTGCACTGTGCCGTGTTTCAGCGTCGATGGCAGGGCGGCAGGAAGCCCGTGCTGGCAACCGAGATCTTTGCGTCGCGAGGGATGTCGGTGTTGATTTTGGATCGTCGAGGGTGAAGTGATTTTGCTGCTGCCCGTGTGTGTGGCCACTCCGGCAGAGGGCGGACACAACAGGGAGGATGCAGGCGCTGCGTGTGTGTGTGTTTGCGGGTGCCACGCAACAACGTCACAACAAACATGCTGCGACTCGGTGACCCTCACATCGTTGCGGTCCTCACGAACAGCCCAGGCACGGCCCACATCGATGCACTTAGTGGACGGAGTGAGGCATCTTTGAGGCGCTGCAGGGAGCAGGATGTGTTGACGCAGCCACGACGTGCATGGAGTGTCGCGATGGCACAGTCAGCTGTGGCTGGTGGAATGTTTACTTCTCGGAGGCAACAGAGAGAGGGAGAGAGCTGCTCCTGCTGCTGGCGTTGTTGCTGCCTTTTTTGGCCTCCCATGCCGATTATTTTCTGTCCGCTGATCATGGGTGGCATGCCTCCACTAGTGACGTCGTCTGCAGGCATTTCACAGCACCAGTGAAACACACATCACGTCGCATGCTTTGGCTGTGGATATGGTGTCGTGAGTGCAGCCGGCATTATTTTACCCGACTCCTTTTCACTGCTTTGCGACAAATAGATGCGTCGCCGCCCGAGTCATTCACTGCAGCTCCGTGTGTTGTACTGCCAGCACAAGACTCTCTTGTTGTCTGACGCCTGGCTGACAGTCAAACACCACTGCGTTGGGACGTGCAAGGATGTGGACTGCCGCTCACGGTGTTGGGCACCGCCGTTTGGATGCGGCGGCCACACGAGCGGATGTATTGTGGCACATTCAAATGCGTGAAATACGCGGAATCACAGCGGCTGCAATAATATCAACGGTGTGGCACCACGGAGTATGTGAAAGAGGGTGATGCATGATGAATCACAGTGGGCGGCATGCGAGGGAAGTGCACCGCGACAGAGCGTCATCCCGCCCTCAGTCTGCAGGGGAATGTGCACCCAGAAGAATATATGGACGAGATAACACCAAACACACATGCCCTTCCATGCACCAATAAATAGGAGCGAAGGTGCGTTCTGGTGCGTGGGAGTCCACTCACATATTTACATTTCCACCGCAATAAACGGTGAGGAATCAGGTGTCACAGCAACGAAAGGAAAAACAAAAACATCTATTGCAACACTTTAACGGCGAGAAGCAGGAAGAACAAAAACCGAATTATTGGCTGCACTTCCCGTGGACCAACAATCCACGTTGTGCGGGGATCTCCTCTTTTATTGTTACTTTGCTTTTGCGTTGCTGTGTGCGCTGCACCTCCTCTTGTGTGTGTGCGTACCCTCCGCGAGGGGTGCCGACACGACGGACCGCTCTCGCCGTATGCACATGCGGTGGAGCCTTGTGTGCCGCTCCTGTTTGCTTCTCCCTCCTCCATCTGTGTGTTGGTGTTGCGGCAGGGCTCTGTGTGTGTGTGCCTGCTGCCTGTGGATTGGAGTGTGTGTCGTGCGTGGTGTGCGGCGTACGGTGCATGCCTGGCTGCTGCCCTCTCCTCATGTGGTGTGCCCTCTGTGTGTGTGTGTCTGCCGCACCTCTCGTCTCCCCTGTTGCTCTCCATGTCCCTCACTGTGCAGATCAGCTCCACACCACCGAACGACCACACTCACGATGATGACGTGCCGTCTGCTGTGCGCCCTGTTGGTGCTTGCCCTGTGCTGCTGCCCGTCCGTGTGCGGGACAGAGGGTAGCGATAAACTAGCTCAATCCGTTCAGAAGTCCGATCCACAACCGGGAATAAGCGGGACGGACGGTAGGCAGAAGGATAAAAACGAGGTCCCAGGTCCAGGGGTCGTTACACCAACGGTTCAAGACAATAACAATGTAGAAGAAAAAACAGTTCCGAAAGCCAATGAGAATGCCAACAGTCAAGATGCATCAGTTGCGTCTGTTCAGTCAGCGAA